AAAAAAAAAAAAAAAAAAAAAAAAAAAAAAAGGTAAAATAAATAAATATAAAGATCTTAGGCTTCATAAAACTCGGTAAAACAACTTGGTGTAGAAAAAAATTTCTACTATAACATCAAAAAATGAGAGAAGAACAACGACATTTACATCACGGGTAAAAAAGTGGAAAGAGAATAAATAAGAAGTAAATAGTAAACTACTGAGGCAAACTACCACTAGTAGATGAATTACTAAGATCCTGTAAGCTTGTTGTACCAGGCTGAGCTGCACTTGTAACTGCAGTTTTACCAGCTACATTCAACGAACCATTTGGCATATATTCAACATCTGAGCTTTTTGGTTTCGCTGCGATCAATTTAGGTTGACCCCTACCCGCTGTTGTAACTGTTAATGCATGCGAATAAGGAAGTTTTGTCCTCGATAAGGCAGCATCAACTGACGGTGGTCTGCAACCTGACGGTGACCCCGTCTCCATCATATTTCGACGTGACTAAAAATTACTGACCTAGAAAATCAGAAGAGTGATAAAATGAGATAATTATTTCGAACAAATCATTTTCTTAACTGCTGAACTAACAGGTCAAAAGATGTTCCAGCTCGCAAAAAATATATATATGGTTACTCCAAAGTTGCTCATTGAAGCATACCAAAGGGTCTCTCTGCGAAAACGCTTGAATGTTCTGTTCGGGTGGACTAGCTGGGAGTGAAATAGAAGCAACTTGATTCCGAGCACTAAAACTGGAGCCGAAATGAGGAAGTATTGACCGCTGAAGAGGTAAATGCATTGTCGGCATTTGTGGACTACTCCCCATGCTTTCTGAGGCATTATTTAAAGATCTGTGGCCGTGTACATAACCGTCTGCCCAACCACCGTTGGGTATAGACGAATATAAACTGTTATGCATACGACTCTGGCGGACTTTCTGGCGTTGCTGCTGGAGTTCACGTCGATGACGTTCCAATAATGCTTCTAGCTCAAACCTCTGCCTTAAATTACTCAGAAGTAGGAGGATGCTCACTATTTTAATGATCTTCGTTTAAGGACACTGCAAAGAGCTCTAGAAAAAACAAGAAAAGAGAGAGAAAAGAACGAAGACTTGATACCTAGTCTTCAAATTTTGCAACGATTCGTCATCGTCATAATCAGACTCGTCGCCATCAAACTAAATCATAAAATTAGCGAGGTAAGAGCCGTGTTCAACTTAAAGCACTAAGCAGAAGTGTCATAAATAAGTCGTAAAATATTATACTTCTTTAGTATAGTGTGAAAAGCATATGCTTTGCTTACCAAACACCCAAATCTTCAGATAAAAAAATATAGGTCAGATTAACGTACAAAAGTATTGGAGATGTCACCTGTAACTTCAAGCCTCCAATTATAAAACCAAGCAAGCCCAAAAAAAATATTAACATACCTGGATATCCACTTCGGAGCTGTATGATGTCGTTGGACTGAATGGGTGGTGGTCCAAAACATCGCGAGAGCAAGGTTCACCTGCTTGATTTGCAACGTCGCTGTAATGTGTTGGAGGTGTGCCAACGTGAAACGCTGGAACGCAACCATTCAGTGGCGATAACGGTGGGCGATTTTGAAAGTCCTCAGCTATACTAGGATAGTGTTGTTGCAAAAGGAAAGTCATCGGCGTGGCCTGAGGAAGAGAAGTTGGAGTAGCACTTCCAGGTCGGTGTTGATGAGCGGCCGTTGAAGCAAGTTGAGGCAGTGTAGGACATCGTCCATGGGTGCCAAATGTGCTGCTTAAAGCTGTTTCTAAATTTTCCAATGTGGACATAGCGGTTGGGTTGACTTCAATGTTATTAGGAACTGTAACGAAAAACTGTGAACCAGCCACTGCCTGTTCGCTACCGCCTGGAAATGCGAAAGAAGATAAATGCAGAGAAGAAGCCAATGGAGTTAAATCGTCACCACTTCCTGCAGCGGTAGGTAACGGCACTTGCTGAGTTGCTTCGACACTGGCTTTGAATTGCTCAGGTGCTACAGCTCCAACGCTCGTAAGTCCTGGGAGACCGTTAGAACAATTAGGAAGTTGATTGGAGATCCCGACAGATACAATAGGAATTTCAGGTCCACCTGTCCCACTCACCCCATTGATTGCGGAAACGACAGGAAACCCGATTCCGCAAGAAACAGGAACACCAGCGACTCCAGTTACTGCCGCCACATTCGGTTGTGGAAGCTATTAAAGATTAGAACAAATATTACGTTCAAAATAGAAGTGCTTGTATTACAACCACCACAGTTAGGAAACCATAATCAAAAACAAATTAGTTTTTGCAAGTTACTAAAAATCATTCAGACTCAAAAGAACCTGCAAATGCCAAAACAGGAAAAGTGAAACACAGACTTTACAATACATAAACAGTACTGATTCTTGTCACTAACCTCATCAGAGGGTAACTCTACAATTGAGGGAGTTTGTGGAACAGCTGCCTGTTGAATTTGCGCCCCTGGTGGAGTTTGCTTACCATTAACCGAAGCTATTACGGGCAAAACATTTTCGGGAACAACCGCAGCAGCCGGCTGATCAAGATGTATTACCTGATATAATTGTACTAGAGAAGACAAATGAAACTAAAAGATCCATAAATTGAAGAAACAGCAATAGGAATAAATGCTAACCAACTGAGCACGAAAAACAATGATTTAAAATATAGGATTAAAACACGAATTAAAAAACCGAAAAATATTTATTTGCAAACCTTCTGCAACGCATTTGCAAGTCCATTCAAGGTATCGACTTGTAATACGCCAGCTGTCAGCGATGCAGAGGGGACACCGACAGATGTATGTGCCGCAGGAATTTGACTAGCTTGAGGGAGTGCAGTTACAACAGCAGTAGCAATAGGACTCGACATCGATGTTACAACTCCTGGTGACACGACTGCAGTGATAGGAGGAACAGTTACAGGAATCTGCTTTGAGGTCTGTCCACTGCCTATGCCAGCAGGTGCAGACGATGCTTCTTCCAAATCCGTAACAACGCCAACCTCTTCAAGAGGTTCTGCTTGTAACTTCTGACTCAATGCAATTAACTTCTCATTCAGTCCAATCAAATTGTGGGTTTTCTCCGGCTGATACTTCGGTGTATGCGGCACTGATTTTAATGATCCGCAAACTAAATCATACCAATTTTTTTAAGCTAAATTAGGTTTTCAAAAAGTTTTCCGCACACAGTAATATAAAAGAAAAGCTACTGTGCGTTTTCAATGACACAATAGAATTACTGGAGGAAGCACTTCAAGTGCAAATGGGCTGCATCTGTTAAAACAATTTAGAAAAAAAAGTTTTAAAGCACCTATAGCTGATGCTACAACCGGCGCTTCTGTAGCTGAAGGGTTTACTGAAGTAACAGCTATTCCCTGTGTTCCAACCAGTGCAATCGGTGCTTGTGCGACAGCTGGAGTCGCTCCGGTAACTCCGCTTACTTTCCTTAACTCACTCTCCAATAGAGCAAGTGTTGGCAATGCTGTTAGATTAGAATGAGGATTTAATTGAACAATATTGCCACTACAGGGCGCTTGAGATAAAACAGACGCTGTACCCTTGACGCCAACTACTCCAGATGTCGCGGGTACACTGACTACTGGAGTAGGTGCAACATGTGCAATAGGAGGTTGGGACAAAGCATTTACCTAAAAAAGGAATATAAATTAGGTATACCAGACCTTTATATAGAAAGTTCAAATAAGTGAGCAAAAAAAGCATGAGTTCTAACTTACAGGTACAGTTACGGTGGCTTGAGTTGTTACAGATTGCACTCCCACACCTTGAGGCGCGTTTACGGTAACTGGAACAGTTACAGTGAATGATGAAGTCTTCGAAGTTACTGCGTGAACAGACGAAGTGGGAGCTGCAATTAGAACCCCGGATTCACTAGTATGGGTTGCAGCTTTCCCCATAGCGAGTTGGTGCTCAACTTCATTTGTCTGCATTTCAGCAACATCCTGTAAAGGTATACTTTCGGCAGATCCCGGAACGACTGTTGTCTGTGTGCCTTCTTGTACTGTTGAAATTGTTG